GAAGCCTTGAGTATAACTCCTGTTTGCCAACAACTGGGCTCTCATTTGGTCTACATCTGCCACAAGTTAAGTAAGCATACACCACTTTGAAGTCTCAACAAAATGATGCGGACTTAGAGAAGAAGACTGAAATGTTGCACCAACCAGCACCAGTGGACTTAATAATTACTATAAACAAACTTACTCATGATTCCAGTGTGTATCTGTCTAATCTACAATTTTACTTGGCTCTCCACAGTGTAGTATCTGAACTTCTCAGGAACAAATTATCCAGTCATGTAACAACGGGCCAGGAAGTTGGTTGTTTTTGCTAAAAAGTCTTTCTTTCATCAGACAAAAGAAACGAGCATGGATGAAGCATAATATTTGTCTAAAGATGGAGATCAAAATTTACCATGCAGACATGATGATCTTCCATGATCTGAGGAAAGTAGGACTCAGGTGGTGCCTCCCCTCCCTCAGCCATGTGGTCTTGGAGTAAAACTTCAGCAATGACCCAGCCAGTAGGACCAGATGCAGCCAAAGAAGAGACCTCTGACAGTCTGAGCACTTTCTACAGTTTTGACTGGACCCTCTCTGCCTTTTGCTGATTGACTGTTTTGCTCTAGCCCCCCTTCTGTGCCACAATGTCTTCTCAGCTTTACTCCACACCTGCCCCTTTGCCCTTTTCTGCGCTGCCCTGCCCTGCTCAGCCCCTTCCCCTCTCTATTCTTTTCATTTAGCATATCCCTTCCTAACTAGCCTCCCCACCCCAACCTAGAAATTGTGGAACAAATATGTTTGCTGCCATCACATTGAACACTCTGCTTGTACGTTTGACCCCTTCCCACACCCTTTGTGTCCATCTTGTCTATTTAGATTGACATACAGATATATTTGGGCAAGGATTCATAGCACATTGAGTGGATGTTTTCAGAGAGCTATCCACAGTGACTCCAATATCTTTCTTGAGTGGTAACCACTAATTTAGACCCCATCATTTTATATGTATAATTGGGATTATGTTTTCCAGTGTGCATTACTTTGCATTTATCAACACTGAATTCATTTGCCATTTTGTTGCCCACTTACCCTGTTTTGTGAGATCCCTTTGTAACTCTTCACAGTCTGCTTTGGACTTAACTATTGAGTATTTTTTTACTACTGAAAATTTCACTATCTCACTGTTTTACCCCTTTTTCTAGATCATTTATGAATACGCTGAACCGTACTGGTCCCAGTACAGATTCCTGGGGGACATCACTATTTACCTCTCTCCATTTTGAAAACTGACCATTAATTCCTACCCTTTGTTTCCTATCTTTTAACCAGTTATTGATCCATGGGAGGACCTTCCCTCTTCTCCCATGACAGCTAACTTTGCTTAAGAGCCTTTGGTGAGGGACCTTGTCAAAAGCTTTCTGAAAATCTAAGTACACTATATCCACTAGATCCCCCTTGTCCACATGCTTGTTGACCTCCTCAAAGAATTCTAGTAGTTTGGTGAGGCATGATTTCCCTTTACAAAAACCATGTTGACTCTTCCCCAACAATCATGTTAATCTATATGTGTCTGATAATTCTGTTCTTTATTATAGTTTCAACCAATTTGACTGGTACTTAAGTTAGGTTTACCAGCCTGTAATTGCCAGGATCACTTCCAGAGCCTTTTTTAAAAATTGGCATTACATTAGCTATCCTCCAGTCAGCTGGTACAGAAGCTGATTTAAATGATACCACAATTATTAGTTCTGCAAATTCACATTTGAGTTCCTTTAGAATTCTAGGGTAAATACCATCTGGTCCTGGTGACTTATTACTCTTTAATTTATCAGTTTGTTCCAAAACTTCCTCTAATGACACCTCAATCTGGGACAGTTCCTCAGATTTGTCACCTAAAAAGGGTGGCTCAGGTTTGGAAATCTCCCTCACATGTTCAGGCATGAAGACTGATGCAAAGAATTCATTTAGTTTCTCCATAATGGCCGTATTGTCCTTGAGGGCTCCTTTAGCATCTCAGTCGTCCATTGCACTGGTTGTGTAGCAGGCTTCCTGGTTCTGATGTACTTTTAAAAAAAATCTGTTACTTTTTAAGTCTTTGAGTAGTTCTTCAAATTCTTTTTTGACCTTCAAAATTATATGTTTACACTTCACTTGCTAGAGTTTATGCTCCTTTCTATTTTCCTCACTAGGATTTAACTTCCACTTTTTAAAGGATGCCTTTTTGCCTGTAACTGCTTCTTTTACTTTGTTGTTTAGCCGTGATGGCACTTTTTTGGTTCTCTTACTATGTTTTTTTAATTTGGTGTATACATTTAAATTGAGTCTCTGCTGTGGTGCCTTTAAAAAGTTTCCATGTAGCTTGTAGGGATTTCACTTTTTGGCACTGCACCTTTTAATTTCTGTTTAACTAACTCCCTCATTTTTGTATAGTTCCCCTTTCTGAAATTAAATGTTACCATGGTGGGCTGCTTTGGTGTCCCGTCCCCCGCAGGGATGTTAAATTTTATTATGTTATGATCGCTATTACCAAGTGGTATTCACCTCTTGGACCAGATCGTACGCTCCACTTGGGACTAAATCAAGAATTGCATCTCCTCTTGTGGTTCCAGGACTAGCTGTCATTTAAGGTGTCAAGAAACTTTGTCTCTGCATCCTGTCCTGGGGTGACATACCCAGTCAGTATGTGGAGAGTTAAAATCCCCCATTATTATTATTTTTATTTATTTTTATAGCCTCTCTAATCTCCCTGAGCATTTCACAGTCACTATCACCATCCTGGGCAGGTGGGTGGTAGTATATCCCTACTGCTATATTCTTATTATTCAAGCATGGAATTACTACACATAGATATTCTATGGTGCAGCTTGGTTTATTTAAGATTTTTACTTCAGTTGAGTACGCTTTCTTTCACATATAGTGCCACACCCCCACCAGTACATCCCATTCTGTCCTTCCAATATATTTTTTACCTGGTATTCCTGTGTCCCATTGATTATCTTCTTTCCATCAAGTTTCTGTGATGCTTATTATATGTGTAACCCTTCTGCCCATCAGAGTTAGCAGCCAGGTTCAGTATCTAGGGGTTCTGTTTCAATAACACAACGCAAAACAGGCTCGAGCCCCCACCCAGTGACCTGGGACAATTACATACCACCCCCCTGGGCGCCTCTAAGAGGCAATACTTCCCCTTTCGCAAGCACAGAGTCTGAGTGTAGTAAAAAACCCCTTTTAATAAAGGAGGGAAACAATGCGGCATTATGTTAGGGAAACACCACAACTAGGGTTCATAAACACAAACCATGAACCAGAAGACCCACCCCCAAACAGATTGGGCTGTATCCTTTCCCTTTGGTTCTTGAGTCCAGCAACCCAAAAGTCACATAAAGTCCCAAAAGTCCAGTGCAGCCCCAGAGTTCAAAAGTTCATCTGCAGAGTTTACCTCCCAGCCTGGGTGGAAAAGGGGGGAGGTATGGGGGTACCTTACGTGCTCCACTGCTTGTGTTGACGGCTGAATGCCCAGCCTTTCCACAGGGGTCTGCTGCAGCCTTCATCGCGAGCCGCTCCGGCAGCCATCCCAAGAGCCGCTCATCTCCAGCAGACATCTCGGTAGCCGCTCACCAATATATCTTCAGCCCCCTCCACTACTTAACAGCACTCAGTGACTTCAGCTTATAGTAGGGGAGTCTCAGTACTGGTGCAATATTGGCCCAAAGTGAATTCAGCTCAGCAGCCTGTAACCAGACTCCTAATGGAATCAAAATTAGCTCTGATATTACACAGTGGAGAGGATGAAATTGGTGTTTAGGGCCCTAAACACCCCCAGATACACCTACCTGTCCCCAACTTCTCTCAACTCACTGGGTTCTAGAACCCATGTCCCTTGCCTAGCAAGTGCTACTTCGTTGAGGGCAAGTCCCCCTGTCATAAAATGCCAGATCCAGTTCTACTGTCCTTGATTCACATAACCAGGATGACACTTTATTACTCCTGCCCCAATAACAAAAAGACTGAGGATCCCACAGCAGCCAAAGTGACCATTTTGGCAAGCAATCCCATCATGCTAGGCGGGGTGGGTGTGCTCATGCAAACGAGATCAGCCCTTGAAGTCCTTTTCCACAGCTCACCACCAGATGTCAGGGTAGAGCTCATTCTGACTCTGCTTACATATAAATATCCTCATTTAATACGAGGCACTCTAGTTCACCCATCTTAGTATTTAGACTTCAACCATTTGTATTTTCGCACTTAAAAATGTCATTTTTTAGTTGTTTGACATTATGTGATGTAACTGAATGGGACTCTTTCATTTGACTGTTTCTCAACAGATCCTACCTGTATTTTATCATCTTCCATCTTTTCCTCCTTACTAGGATATAGAGAAACTCCATTAATAGATTCTCCCCTAAGGGATGTTTCTGTCGGAACCATGTGCTCTTCTGCTCCTGTCAGCTTTCCCCCAGCCCTTCATTTAAAAACTGCTCTATGACTGTTTTAATTTTATGTGCCAGCAATCCAGTTGGTGTAAGTGGATCCCATCCTTCCTATATAGGCTCCCCCTTTCCCAAAAGGTTTCCCAGTTCCTAATAAACCTACATGTACCACAACACTGGCTCCTCCCCAGCACTACACATAAGTCTGTCTAGATGTCTCAAGATATCCGCAACCTTCGCACCCAGCAGGCAAGTCACCATGTGGTTTTCCTGGTCATTGCAAACCCAGCTATCTATGTTTCTAATGATCAAATCCACCATTACTATTACCATTACTATCACCTGTCTTCCTAAAACTGGAATTTCCTCCCCCAGAGATGTATCCGTAGAGTGAGAGGATACCATGACATCATCTGGAAGGAGGATCCCAGTTAGGGGATCATTTCCCTCTGCTCCAGTTTGATGTTGTTCTTCCCTGAGACTTTCATCCTCCTCAACAGCACAGAAGCTGTCAGATGCGGGTGGAGGGTGGGACCGTTCTGCTGTGTCCCGGAAAGTCTTATCTATGTGTATCTCTGTCACCCTTAGATCCTCCAGTTCAGCCACTCTGGTCTCCAAAGCCCGTATGCAGTCTGAGGGCCAGCAGCTCCTTGCAATGAATGCACACACATGCCACCCACCCATAAGGTAGGTAATCATACATGCTGCATATTTTGTCTGGGGATAGGCTATCTATAGCGGTAATTTTCAAACTTTTTTTCTGGGGACCCAGTTGAAGAAAATTATTGATGCCCTCAACCCAACGGAGCTGGGGATGAGGGGTTTCAGGTGTGGGAGGGGCTCAGGGCTTGGGCAGAGGGTTGGGGTGAGGGGTTCAGGGTATGGGAGGGGTGCTGGGCTGGAGCAAGGGGTTGGGGTATGGGAGGGGGTGTGGACTTACAGCGGCTCCTGGTCCGTGGCGCAGCCGGGGTGCACCGCAGAACACGCTGCACCCCTGAAGTGGCCAGCAGTGGGTTTGGCTTCTTGGCAGAGGCACACAAGCACCACCCTGCCAGTTCCCGTCAGCCATCAGCCAGCCAGCCAATGGGAGAGGGGAGCCGGTGCTCGGGGCGAGGGCAGCACGTGGAGCCCCATGACCCACCTGCCTAAAAGCTGGACCTCCTGCTATCCACTTCCAGGATGCAGTGCAGTGTCGGAAAAGGGAGGCACTAGCCTGCCTTAGCTGGGCAGCACCGCTGACGGGACTTTCAACATCCCAGTCAGTAGTGCTGACCAGAGCAAGGTGACCCAGCGCCTTACAAGCCACGACCCAGTAGTGGGTTGCAACCCATGGTTTGAAAAACACTGATCTATAGCAGTGCTGGGCAACCCGTGGGCCGCTTCCCACAGCTCCCATTGGCTGGGAACTGCGAACTACAGCCACTGGGAGCTCTGGCCGGCCGTGCAAATGTAAACAAACTGTCTGGCGGCCCACCAGCAGATTACCCTGATGGGCCACAGGTTGCCCACCAAGATCTATAGGAATTCATCATTATAGCTCCCTGTATGCTGGTTACCTAACCACCGCCAGTGATACAAATAGGCTGCAGTTTGCCTTCACTTATGAATTCTTTTCTATCTGAATAAAGGCTGCTTAAGTTACAAGTCCAATGCAGTGAGTGTTCCATAGAGGACTGAGGGAGATTGCATTGTTGCACAACTGTGTTTGGTCTTTGTGGTTTCTTACAGTGGGGAAAGGAGAGTTTTATTGTAAGTAGCGCTTACTGGAGAAACTTCAATGGATCCACATTCCATTGGAATGCCTGAGTCCGTTAAAATCAAAACACTACATTAAATCAGAACGATTTTGCTGGAATTTCATTTCAGAAAAAAACTGGGTAGGGGAACCTCTGACATTGTCTCACTTTGACATTTTTTTTAATGGGAATGTTTTAATTGTTTCTTTTTAAATGACTGTGTTTTGAGTTTTTTAAAGTTTGTATTAAAACACAAAATAAAAAAGTCAAAATGAAAATTTGTTTGAAATGTTTTTTCACAGAGAACTTAGAAATGTTAGGGTTTTGATCCAGTTCAGAATGAACCCAAATTTTGAAATCTCAATCTCAGAATCCTTCTCAAAAGAGAACTTCCATTCTCTGCACAGCTCTGAATGGAATTATTCAGGGTAGGAGCAGTCCTATGGCTGACCCAGAGCTGCAGTGACTTTGCAGCAGTGAAGAAGCTCATCTGACTGTATATAGTTTGGTTACATTGAACTACAAATGGATATTACTATTTTTTTTATTATTATTTGCATAGCATATAAGACCTTAGTTGTGGACTAGGACTCCATTGTGCTGGGTGCTGTCCTTGCCCCAAAGAGCTTCCAACCTAAGTATAAGATAAGAGACAACATATGGATATAGACAAACAGGGTAGTACAAGGGGGAAAAATGGAAAATGTGGTCAGCATGGTAGGATGTGGTCTCAGCATACCAGCAGATTAGCCATTTCAGTGTTTTTGTAGGTTTCATGGCAAAACAGGGTTTAGAAGGACGATAATGAGTTAGTTTTGTGGGAAGCTTGTCCCAGGTGTGAGGGGCAGCATAGAAGAAAGCAGGAAGGTGTTTATTTGAAAATGTATCAAGTGGACAATATAATCTGATATCATGGGCTGATTGGAGGCAGGAGCTGACCTTTCAATACTGAATGGTAGATGATAGGTAAGGTGGGGTTAGGTCATGAAACTTCTGTTTGCCAGAAGCTGGGAATGGGGAACAGGGGATGGATCACTTGGTGATTACCTGTTCTGTTCATTCCCTGTGGGGCACCTGGCATTGGCCACTGTCGGAAGACAGGATACTGGGCTAGATGGAGCTTTGGTCTGACCCGGTATGGCTGTTCTTATGTGCTTGAAAGTGAAGAAAAGTAGCTTATGTTTGATACATTAGAGAAGAGGGAGCTAGTGGAGGGATGCAAAGAGAGGGGTGATGTGGTCAAAGTGATGGGCTTGGAAAATGATCTTTGCAGCAGTATTTTGAATGGATATAAGTGGGTCAAGACTGCATTTGTCAAGCCCAGAAAAAAGGATGTTATAGTAACTGAGATGTGAGAGTAACACTTTTGAAGGTGCCTTTGAAAATTTTATCCCAAGTCTTACTAAAGCAGTGTCTTAATCACCGGAAGCTGCTGTCTGCTGTTCTCTGCTGGAAAGCTGTTCTCTTTGAATTAAAACATGGCACTTTTACTTCATGTAAAGGGGTCAGAGCAGGGATGAGTATTTCTCTCTGTAGGCCACTCTTTCCATTTTTCTTTAATGAGTAATAAATGTTGGGAATCCAGCAGTAAATAGTAATCTAACTATGTGAAGTTATTAGTGAGATGGATAGTACAGATATTTTCTTTTCACCTGCTCCTGAAGAGCTTCTGAGTTCTTTTCTTTTCTGTTTTACTGAGAGCTATTTGACCATATAGTTTTCCCTCACCACATGACAGGCACAAGGACACAACTAATAGTTTGGTGTCAAGGGCTGTAAGATCTCCCTGCTCACACTTGTTTTCTACAGTGCTTTCTCCACTTTGTTCAGAAGCATATTCTTTCTCCATTGCATCTGAAAACAGGTTTTCCCAGAATGAGTCAGAAAGAAGATAAACTGAGGTCAAAACATACAGAGGAGAACTTCAGCCTACTCTGTGGAGCCTCTGCCTACGTTGTCCCCAGGATTCCATACCATTAAGTGAAGCATTCTTGGAGGTACCTATTAACCCAATACTCTATGCCTAAGAAGTAACTCAGAAAAGGCCCATAGCAATAGGTTGAACTGGTTCTTTGCAGCACAGAGAGGTAAGAAACAGTCTTTTCTATTCTTAACTTCTCTGTGGGGAGGTAGTACTGTTATTGGGGCCACCCTTGGCTTACATTGGTAGCCTATGGCAAGCTAGTGCTTAAGGTGATCTTAATTTGTGAACTTGTAGTACAGTATATTATGGTTGGTTTCATAGAGGGTATCAAATATTGCATAGTACTTGTGTTTTCCCATCATGCCTTCCTCTTTCCCTTAGGCCACACCTCCATTAGATTTTTTTTTTCAGATCTTCTATAGTGGCATCACCATCTCTAGGTTTGATTTGGGGGCCCATCTTATGGTACAGGTATGGAAACATTGAGAGTAATTTAGAAATAAGCTGCACATAAGCCACAGGAAAATATGAACACAAATAATTCGTTCTGCAGCCCTCAAATGGTTGTGGAACCTGACTTTCTATATTTAGGATATTATCAATATTTTACTTTTCATCTGGGGAGAGGCTGTGTGGACCAGTGGATAAGACACCTGGGAGTAGAATACCTGGGTTTTATTCCTGGGTCTACCACTAACCTGCTGTCTGATTATGGGCAAGTCACTTCATCTTTTTCTTTTTCTGTCCTGTCTATTTAGATTGTGAGTAATTGGAGACAAGGTGTGCCTTTTGCTAGGCTTCTGTAGAACAATGGTACCCAGATCTTGGTTGGGCCCTCTGTCACAGTTACAAGGCAGCTGTGCCTAAGTTTTCTTTGTGGTCTCTTTGAATGGATCCTCTCAGGTGTCAGGCCTCGTGCCTTTACCTCTCTTGATGTGGAATTCTCTCACTCCTAGACCGATCCCTGGACTACAGTATCCTTCAAGTATATCAATCTTGCTTACCCAGCAGATTGGACTGAGTGCAGGCACCTGCATCTCTTCCCTTTTGTGGAGTGTGGCCAGTGGTGTGTATAGTGATCAGACAGCCTTCTCAAACCAAAGTATTTGTTTGTTTAACAGTAGGAACAAAGCATTTCGAGAAAAAGGATTTTAAAACAGTAAACACATCTGTCTTAACTAATGGCTTGTCCTTCCCTGCTGATAACCTGAGTGTTGACAGCTACAATATTGTTTTCACAAATGACATAATTTTGGCTGAGCCCAGTCTTAGGATGACCCAAGAAGCTCCAGCCCTCCAGTGAATGGCTGTCTGTCCCATTAAGCAGCCTCCTAGGCTGAGCAACCAATCAGAGCTGCTTAGAGACCAGGCTCTCTTTCCCCACTTCCCACCTCTCAGCAAGCGACCTGCAGTCATTCTCACAGGAGGGGAGGAGAGAGTTAAAGACACTGAGCAGCACAAGGTGTTTCCACTCCCTCCTTCCCTTCCCTTCATGGGAGTAATGGGGACAAGATGATTCTGCTCTTCCCCCACTCCCTGCAGCATCCAGTCTGGGGAAGGGGCAGAGCCAGGTGCAAAGAGCCCTTGGAGGTGCCTCCTCCAGCCTGGGGAGGAGAAGAAAGGATTCTGCTGTAGCCACTCCAGGCTTAAAGGAGGCTGAAGAACCTCAGCAAGAGCAGAGGGGGAAGCTTGGGGGCTGAACTGATGGGTGCTGGGTTGGGGTCAAATTGGGGCTGCTGGAGGATTAAATTGATGAGGGGCTAAATGGAGAAGGCAGAGGTTGGATGGAGGCAGAATTAATTGCTGAGCAGGGGATGGGTAGATGTGCAGGGTTGAGAACTCCTTCAGCAGGGGACCAAAATAACCCTACCCAATACATTTGGGAGAGTGGGCATAAGTCTCTCTCCTCCTCCCCCCCCGCACGCACACGGAGGAGTTCAAAAATACTTATAAAAATACAGTCTTTGGCAAAAAAAAATCATGTTTTTATTAATCTCATGATTTTGGGGCGTTCAACTCATGATTTTTTATCTTGAAGTTGGCGATATAACCTTGGCAATCCCAACTTCTGCCGTCACCCATGTCAGGTCTCTGCGTCTGTCTAGTTTTCCCCAAACACTCCCCCTCCCCCCACCCCTGGAGTGAGTGTTCCTTTTTAAACCTGCCATGGTTTTTTAAAATTTCCTGTGAGTGTGGCCCTCTTCATGTCCTGGTTCAAACCAGTTTTGTAGGTTAGCTGCACAGGAGGCAAAATCTCCAAAGTTAATAGTCCTGGTATTGTCCCTTAACATCCCTCAAGTGTTTGCTGAGGGTGGCTTATTTTGAGCTATTATTTCTTTCTTGCTTGTTTTTCTTGACCACCCTCCCACCTTAAACTAAATCAATATATTCATACAGTAAAACAGCCCTATAACCAGGTCAATATGAGGTATTCACTTTCAGAGCAGCTCCACATCTGTCATAACCTCTAGGTGCTACTGTAATACAAATAATAAAGAATAATTTAGAGATGAGCCCAGGCTGCAAGATCTAGAGATTGAAAAACCCTAATTTTAAAAATGTGGATGTACTCCTAGCTGGGGAGTTCAGCCCATTGTGGAGGGTGCCCTATTCCACTAATTGCACAGCACTGAAATACAGATTTGAATACAAATCTAGGTTCACTTTGAGAAACCCTTGGAAACTTTAGAGGGAGGGAATTAGTTGTATCTGGGATTTCAGTATTACATTTGGTTATGAACGTTTTGACTCAGTCTCTTGCTGCTCTGCAATGTTTAGATGTAGCCCTCTGCAATGGTTCGTTTTGTACTTTGAATTAGTCATGAGAAGAAAAAAGTGACATTTTCCAGTGTACAGTCTTTTCATGCATTACTCTGCATCTTTTCTAACTGTTAAAATAGCTATAATGACAGAGGCGGCATCAGGCATAATAAGCTTCAAGCTGTCCAACTCAGAACTCCTTTCTCACGCGATTTCCTGCAGAGTGAGATTGTATGGATAGCCGCAAATATCTAAACATAGGGCAGTGTTTTTGAACATCCCTATTACCTTTCTGAGCTTTCGAGCCAGCTCTTTGATTTGTTCTCTCAAGCTCCTTAAAGCTACTTCTCTGCCAGTTCGGATGGTATGTAGGAGTCTGTGATGAATACATTCATTATCTAATACAAAGTGGCATAGAACACTCATGCCATGAACCCCACCACACAACTCTACCCTGTTGCAATTCTCTGATTCATGCTGCACGAGATTAATAGCATTTATGTTATTCACATATCTTGGTTGACCTTGATCTGCTAGAAACTCCCTCCTTTTTATCTCTGTCCCATACTGGGGAGGTTTTGTCCCACATTAACAATAGATCTTTTGTACTTCAAAGCACATTCCCCCCACACCCAACATGCTGAGTTTTAATTTTCCTTACATATATATCTGTTCCTTTCTCTTTCTCTCTCATAGTCTTACCTATGTTTAGCAGACTGATAATATCTCGGGAGCTGAGAGCTTTTAGTTTAGTTTTTTTTTAAAAAAGCATTGATGTTAACCCTTCAGAAGCTAACTGTGAAAAGAGACTTAGATCCCTTTTTCTTTTTCCACTTAAAGAAATGTGCACATCCTTTCTGAAGAAAAGAATACTTGTTGAGTTTCCTTCCGGTAGTTTTTCGGACTGTATATTATGTCAGGTGGTAAAATGTACAGTGAGGTGTATGTGTGTGGGGTGGGAGAGAATGCCATACGTATCATTTCTCATGTGGCTCCTGGGGCAAGTTACAAAACTCTGGTATGTTTGTGTGTGGTGTTTTCCACCTACACTGAGAATTGAATTATTCTCCACACTCATTCAGCTTTCACCCTCTCCCATTCCACTATGCTATCCTCATGTCCACCACAGGCGAAACTCTCTACCCTGCACATAGAATGTGAAGCAGCTCTCACTCCAATCTGGCACATGAGATAATAATTTGGGGACCCTCACAGGGTCTCTCCACTGCTGCTGCACCAGGAAAAGGTCCAGGCTCTGGAGGATTCCAGCAGGGCCTCAGGAGTCATTTGGGGAGGGCTGGGGGGCAGAAAGGAGAAAGAAGGCCAGATGGGATCAGTGGCTTTCTTCTTGAATGCTCAGAGGGAGATAGATAGCAGACCTAGATAGCATAACAGTTCTGAGATTCCAGTGCAATTGCTGTTACTAGAAATAGGTAGACAGACAAACCGAGTACTGGGCCTGGTATTCGGGAGTGTGCCTTTAAGGACAGAGCTTCCCAGATTGACAGTTTGGGCAGGACGCTGTGAAGCACTTGTTATGCCCAGCCAGCAACTTGAAACCAGAAACAGAGTACAGCAGATCTCTTGCAAGCACTGAGTAATCACTGACCACTGCAGTTGGCAGGAGCTGCTGAATGGGGACTGAGAGAGGACCCTGTTGAGTTGCATAGAATTGGACAGAAACAGACAAAGAAGGATGGGGAAGGAACAGAACAAAGGGCAGAAGTAGTGCTGGTCCTAAAGGTCAGCATATCTTCTCAGCAAGGTATCATATGACAATGAAGTACAGTGTAAACAATAAAAATTGAACATTTAGTTAAAGGCCAGATTTAACACTTGATATTTGTGTAAACCTCCCTGTTGCCAGTGGGGGCTCAGCTTTGCATTGAAGATACTATGCAATCCTGCATGCGTACTGGCCACTGACCATAATTAAAAATGGAACGCCACTCCTTCCACTGAATGAGCTTTACACCCCTCATCTAAAGCAATTGCTGTAAAATCAGCTTTGGTTCAATTAGGAATTGTAGTTCCTGTCTCCTTTCTCTTCTCCTCAGCATATGCCTGCATTTGCAGCTGTCAAAAACAGGTATACTCCTGCATCCAAAAAATGTAAAATTGGCTCTAGGCATGTATCATTTCATTCTTGACCTGAAGTTATAACAAATGGGAAGATCAGCTTTCTGCTTTATTTATTTATTTCTCTGGGCCCTCTGGCTTACGATCAATGGCTCATTAATTTTTATTTCCCACATACTTTCTAAGAGGTTGGAGCTGTTAGAAGAATTATGACAATCCAGAAAGTCTGATCCT